TTAATTTTAGTTGTGCTGGCATCCGTCAAGTTGTCGATCTCAGCTTCGTCAGTGTGGGAGGTTTTGCTGATGACTTCACTGCAACAGTCGACACTGGGAAGCTGTTAAATGATCTACCTTGCAGGCAACGCTGCACATCATCGATGGCAGTGTCTAGGATAACTGCCTCCTTCCTCCTTTTTTCAGCTTCTGACAGTGATGTCTGTTCTGATGGCATTTTGTCCTCCCTAGGGACTTTGTCGGATAACAGTAGACCGCTGAGCCACATCGTCATTGGCACTCAACTGTGCTCAATCATGTTGAATCTACTGTCCCCAAGTGCGTATGACACTATGCAGAGATAAACCAGTCCGAGATCCTGCCAGAGTCGCCCCATCATCATGATCACCTTCAAACTGCTTTTCTTCCAATCAGGACCATTATCCGATACAATGAAGGCAGCGTTCTTGCCATCTCTCTCCCGGACATCTCTCAGCAAGGGGAGGAGATCAGCATAGTGATTGCACACTGATGCTCTAGAGAATTTGTTTCCTTGTAAGCAAACAGTCAGGGGCCCTGTTCTTGGATACTGGAAGTGAAGACGGCCTAGGCTGTCATGGCGATATCTTGATGCTGGTGGAGAGCGGCACAGAAGTGGATCTTCATAGTCTGGGGCATCAAAACATGTTCCAGATCTCGTAAGGCTAACCGATTTTGATCGCTTTTGACTTGATGATGAAGATGGCTGATTGAGAAGTTGCATACAACCACTTGGTATGATTTTGTAGCCTGTTGCAAAGTTGTGATCAGGATAGTGCATGGAATTGTTGGTCATGAAGTACGTTTTGAAACTCGTTCTTCTGTCGACACAAGGGCCACTTCCTACCAAAAGATTGTTTTTGTCATCCGCTGACCACATGGAAACTTCATTGATGAAAAATGCGGCAATTTCAAGGGCATAATTTACCGTAGCACGACAGTAATGTGACGCATGATGATGAAGACCAACATCATTTTGTTTTATGCCGATCTTGGCATCAATGAGTGCATGGTATCGATGACTCGCCATATGTTGCCAATTAGGAGGGATGAGCAGCCGCTGGATACTTCTGGTAATGATGTGTAACTCGGGGATTTTCTTGGCAACTTACCAACGTGCAGTTACCCCAACTGAGGACCACGTCTTTGATCGTCGATGATGAGCGCCAAAGCCGTGTTCCTGAAGTGTGTCGACCACTGTTGGCACAAGAGACGGGAACTTTTCATGAAACGGCTTTCTTCCACGTTTTGTAGGCATTGCACCCTAAGCAGAGAAGGCAGGACCATCAGAAAGCCTTTTTCTGGACAATTGGGTCACATGTTTAGGAGGTGAAAATGCAGGACAGTCAACTGGCTTCCGCGGTGGGGAGAGGACTGTTGTAATTGGGCTGAAAATCAGGGCTCCTGGCGAAACCAAACAGTGTGATGGAGTGAGCTCCATCTTGACTGCAAATGACGTTGTGGGAATAGTTGTTGCTATGGGCAATGTGGCTTGTGTAGCTTGTTGACCAATCAGTGGCTGCAATGTTGCTCAGTGAAGCAAACAGGGTCTCATGAATGCACTGCCTCCCCACTTCACTGTCACATCAAATACATGTACTGCTCATACTGTGACCTGTGACCAAAATATTCTGTGAAATTCGCAACGTACTTGTTCAAAATGAACACCAGCACTGGAGAAAGCTTGATGGATACCCGTCCTCCTAAATGTTTTGGCAAGTAAATTACATAATTTCAAAGTACTATGTTTTTTAGTTGAAGGTGCCACTTTTTACCAGTGCAAAAAATGTTCAATGGCAGCAGCTCATAAATATAGCAAATCGATGTCAGCATTATTTTCCATTAGAAGACGAATATAGAGCTCCAGTTTATTTTTATGCTTATTTTCCATGACAGGTTAATATTCTAATGATGAATCTGATGATGATGTTCCGCTAACCGGTCTGAGAACCAAACTTTGCGCCAACATTGACAACGAAGTCCAACGTCTTGTGTCCTGTACTCAGCCCGCTATCTTTTCGCCTCAGCAGGCTGACCTTCTACCACTCATGCTTGAAATTTTGCGAGATGTTCAGGCAAAGGTGACATCGATCCAAGTGCAGCTCGATTGCCTTGAGAACAGACAGGAGAGCTTCCATGAGGGAATCAAGCATCTAGCTGCAAAGATCGACAACGGAGCTGTGGCCAGCACCCCAAACACTCCTGCCACATCGTCGTCGAACCTTGGACCCCGTCAGCTGACAGTCAACCTAAGCCTGCACCTCCAGTTCGAGAGTTTCAAGTCCAAGAAACACCAACTTCATGCTACGCCATCAACCCTTGATTTGTTCCAGGCAAGGAGCCAGACGAATATCTTCTTGGTGCCAACGAAAACATGGTTCGTTCGGTGTCGGAGTACAAGGTCATTCTCAAGGAGGTCAAGCAAAGGAAGCCGGAAGCATCTGATGCAGACCGAGGCCATTTGCTGTGCCTCAACTTGATGGGGAGGGAGATCCCGAAAGAGGAACTGGCCCGCAAAAAGGTGACCGGAAACTCCCGTGACAAAACAACAAAAAATGTAAAACAGGAACTCTTGATCGGGAGATCGTACATAGCATCTTTGAGCAGGCCAAAATGCAGTTTCCAAACTTTTATTACTGGTACACTGACCATAAATGTAAAACTGTTGAGGCAATCAACGAGCGATGCAAACGGATTAGACAGGAGTTTAAGGAAAACGTCGCAATCGAAGTGAGAACGCAGTTGTGAAGATTTTATTTCCCAAATGCCATTTATCCATTTGAAAAACGTCAGAATATTTCAAAAAGATTGTGAAATTGAAAACAATAAAACGGTGAGACTGCAGTTACTTCTAAACTGCACGTACTGCGTAATTCATCATGTTATATATTTAACAATCTTAAATCTGTTGAAAATGATTCTGGATAGCAAAGGAGAGGGGCTGAATTGAAATGATGAACAAAATGGCGTATGTCGCATTTTGGAAATGTCAGCTATCATGTTTTGGAGACTAAATAATAAACAGTTCCCCGTATAATCCATTTTTTAAATTATAATTTGTGTTTATTTTTTGTAAAACAGATCGGTAGAGCATTCGACGTTGGAACTGGAAATAAAGGTGAAATGTTTCTAAAATGATTTAGTGTTTGAGTTTGTTTTGTTGAGTTGTTTGTTTAAAAATTTCTTTTAGGTGTAAATGAATCAGCAATACCAGCTCGCGAAGAAACTCTGGACATAATCTATTCTAATTGAGGCAATAATTAAGTCCCATGAAAAAAGTTTGATTGAAAGCAGCTTCTTTATACGTGTACATATTAAATCAAACAAAAATCAATATCCATTAATTCAGGAGTGGCAAATTGAACTGCAATGTATTTTAAAAGCGACTGTGGCTGGGGGATGACTGAATATAGTATTGTTTGTGAACTTAAGTTTTCATGGTTGATTTTTTTTCTGCAAGATCTAGAAATGCAGCAGAGGTTCCCTGCAGAAGACAATGAAAACAAAATAAAATACATTGTGTTCAAAAGTGGTGCGATGCTGGTAACTCATCATAAAATGTGGCGATGGCTTTCATGCGCTGGCGAGAGTAATCGACTGTAATACGTTTGGAGATCAAATGCATTGATGACTAATGGTCCCATTGTGTGAATAATCACGTGGCAGGGGCTTTGATCTCTGCTGGTGAAGGGTTCTATTGTATAGCGCTGAAGGATTAAAAACCACAAGCAGGTTTCTCATGGGATAGATGAGGTGTACGAGTACTTTCAAACAACAGACCCCAGGATGGAGAAGTTCGAGATCAACAACCAGTCCAGCATCCCAGGCTGGTAGCCAGGCCGGTATGAAAGGGTTTTTTGCAACAGCGCGAGCTTACCGGGGGGCCCTTTTCAAACCGGGTCGAAATGGTTGCCGGCCCTTACTGCTCAAGTCCTTCCTTAAAGGGGCATTGATTCAGTCGTTTTAAGATACAATTAGTCAAGGCCTAAAGATTCCACTTATTTCACATCTCATTTCGGTGTTTAATTTCAGGACTCATGCAAGGTTTATCCTTTTTCACCCGTCTGTTTTTTCCCCATTAAATTGTGCAAAGCAAAGGGTAGAAGCGGCAACATCAACGCTAGTTGTTCTCATTGTGAACCGTGCAAAATAGTCAGTTCTAGGGTGCCAAATGACCTACAATTTGCTCAGTCTAATCTTGCAAGTTTCTTGGCGAATATGCGCACAGATACATCAGTGCAAATCAAAAGATTGACTGATCGAATTCAGTCCTGTTTGCTGGAAATATTTGATTTGTGCTTCTTGTAAAGCAAATAAAATGGCGGCCTGCCATAGCGCACGGTGTGGGTACTGCGTGGGCTATTTGCATCACTGCGAGAGTGAGGGCGCAAGAGGCCATCAGTATGAAATCGGGTTGCTGAAAAGGGTAGACAGCAATAAGTTGGAGAATAGTTCAACAAGGTAGGAGCTGGTTGTAACGCATGAAGCCTTGGGAGGAACGTGTCTTTGAAAAACCCCACCCACCCTCAAGGGATAGGGTTGCTTGCTCGGACTACGGTGTCTACGCTCAAATCTTTCTGTCCATACCTGAGACAAAAGACTCTGGAGCCTGAACAAAGCAGTAATACAAATAGTTTACTGTTTGAAATTCAATCAGATGAATACACTAATTAGAAAAAATGCACAAACTCTTCCTCTTTCAATCACAAATATAGACCCACAATAACCTCCAAATTTGTGCAAATCTTGAAGAGCATACAGACCTAAACAAAAAGACAGATATGGTTGGAAGGGATTCAGAGCTTAACTCGGGGGGGGGGGCACACCCTGTATGCCCCCCACTCCCAGGTTTTCCTTTTCCTTTTGCCTTATTTATTCTGTTGGCCTGAACAGATTATTTTATAATTTGGAAAACAGCAATTCTCACTAAAATATATCCCACTCATGTATTTGGGTTGAGTTCCAATTTTTGTTTGGTTTACCTGCTGCTCAAGAAAATACATCTCTGCTTTAGTCCTCTCTTCTGAGCTCACTGGTATACCATCAATACACAATAAGTTGGGTTGTCTGAATACAAGCATTGGACGGTGCATCAATCTTCTGGATACCTGGGGAAGGATGAAATGAAGTTAACGTTACCAGCAAAATATACATTCACTATTTGCAGTGAATGGTGCAAAACTGCATTCGGCAAACAAACATACATGTATATGTATGGAGAATTGAATCAAACAGGGTTTAGGAATGGGAACAAGAGAAGCAGTTTATTTGAAGATGACTGCAGTGTAGTGCCAAACTACTTGTTATAGTGAGAGTGATGTTTGGAAATCAAATCAAATCAAATCATCGAATCGAATCAAATGCATGCTATTTTGTTAACAAATCAATGTATATAAAAAAGGCATCCACAAGTGTATAATTTTGATGTCAGTCCAACTTTGGTCCATTTGATATTGCCTGTTACTCATATCTTAGGTCCTTCAGCCAAACTGTTGAAAGGTAACTGACTCAAACAATGCCACATTTATTTTTACTTACAGGATTGCTGATGACAGATAGCTCAATGAGATTTGGCAAGGCCTCAAGTTTCTCCAGATCACAGACATCCTGCAAAGACACAAATCATGAGCTGTTTCAGCTATTGTGTTCCTGATGGCTTTTTTTTTGGGGGGGGGACTTTTTGGCAATTTTGCAAAAGGCATTATTTTATGCTTTTTTTTTAGCTGCTTCAGCTATAAAGCAGCCCTTGCTTTCCTTAAAGTTGTTTGGCTTTTTCCAAATTGTCTAAAAAAGACATTCTTTTTGTTCTCTCTTTTGGCTTTTTTGCAACTTTGTGAAAAAGTCATTTTGTTTATTTTGTTTTCTTTGTCTCCTTCCTCTTCCTCTTTAACTGTTTTGGTCAACTGCCAAAACAGCTCATGTTTTCCTTAAGATTTTGGGGGCTTTTTCACAACTTTGCAAGAGAGGCATTGTTTTTGTTCTTTCTTCTTGGCTTTTTCACAATTTTGCAAAAAAGACATTCTTTTTGTCCTGTTTTTTTCTCCTCTTCTGCACAAAAGTCCATTTGTTTTGTGCACATTTATTCTGTACACAACCTCAGTGCTTTTGCAACTTTGGATCTTCATCAAACTTGTACCAATGAAGAATCCTTAAGCACAGATAGTCCGAGAACAATTATTGATTAATTATTGATTTTTCAATATTTATTTCAGCCCATTGACTTTGTACATGTTTTCACGGCAACATTTTGGTTGTTCACTGATATTCAAATGTCATCAAAGTTACACCAAGGAAAGACACCGAAGCAAAGACTAAAATAATTATGCCATGTCATGAAATGTCCGTGGTGAAGTTTGTCCAAATCGCCTTAAAATTGATGTAGACGATGATCTTTACCCAGTTAACATACATGTATGTGTGAAATTTTGTTCCGATGCATCATACCAGAAGTTATGATAAAAAGTCCTTTTATTCTTTAAAATTTGGTAAAAACAACCATAACAGATATAAGCATGCATCTTCCATTAGATGATAGCCAAAACATTGGAGTCAACTGGGTGAAGTGCACAACTGGTGTACCTTTTCACACAAATGAAGCGTCAATGACAAAATCCCCTTACAACATCAATTGCGAATTCAAAAATCCAGTGCGCATACTATGCATTGGCTACTGTGTGTGTGGATGCGCAATATTTGCCCGTAAGACGGGTAGTGCAAAGTGCGTAGGGCATGTACCCAGGACTTGGAAAATTTTCAAACACGTGGCGCTAAGAGCAGATCACATTATATGGAACGCCAAAAGAGGCAAATGTTTAAAATCTGTAATATGTGATCTCTCCACGACAGTGATAATGTTTTGTAATGTATCTTGTATTGTACATGTCTGATTGGGTTCAAACCTTGCAGATATCTAAAAAGGGGAGTGCTTTAGACAAAAATGTACCTGATGTGATGGTGACATGATCTGGTCACAAATCATTTGACATTAAAGGTACACTCTTGAAAGCACTTCATCTCGTGAAGTACATGTACTGATATCTTACAAGGGGAGTGCTTTAGATGACTATTGACCTCAAGTAATCATGACGTCAGCAGGTGACAAGTCACATGACATTAAAGGTGCACTCAAACAAGCACTATATCTCATGAAGTGCACTTTCGATTGGGTTCAAACCTTGTAGATATCTTGAAAGAGGAGAGCTTTAGACAAATGTTGCCCATATGCTAGGAAGACATCATCAACTGACAAGTTACGTGACATTAAATGTGCAGTTTTCAAAGCACTACGTCTCCGGAATTAAGTCTTTTTTGTTAAAACCTGTACATGTAAGTGTATGAATATGAATATTTTAAAGAAATTGATGATATGCCAACAAGGCTCTTTTTCTTCATAACAACAACAAGGTGATAAAGCCCTGTGTTAATTCTGTCCTTGTGACAGACACAGAACCTGTATTTTTTTTCTTCCTTTATCTTCTTCTGCTCAAAAGGCCAGTTGTTTTTGCACGTTTTTCTGTACACGACTTTAGTGCTTTTGCGAATTTGGACCTTCATCAAACTTGTACCAATGAAGGACCTTAAGCACAGATGGTTCTAGAACAATGATGTCATGATGACGTCATCAACTGATTGATTATTGATATTTAAATATTTATATCAGCCCATTGACTTTGTACACAATTTTAAGGCAAAATTACGGTTGTTAAGGCAAAATAGAAATGGTTCATGAAGTGGGGAATGATAGATAAATGATCAGCTCCTTACCAGCTTCAGAGTAAAGCAGGCAACAATAGGGAGTAACTAGCTAATTGGCTTGTGGTTTGATGAACACCACTCCTGGGTGATGTTTTGTAACAATAGAGAGCTTTAAGGATTACATTCCATTGTGGCTGGTGGTTGAGTCATTGTGCAGTTTATCAACAGCTGGGACCCGAGCCTATTGATATCTCAACAGTGTTTTGTGGGGTTGGGTTTGTAGGACCGTTTACATGGATATGGATATTTTTCCTTCAGTTTGCCACACTGCCCTTAAATACCAACATTAGTTGACTTTGCCTATTTTACTTTTTTAGATTGATTTTGAAGTCCTGTAATTGTTGCATCTATAATGTTCTCCAATTTGTCTATTGTCTATTCCAATCTCTGACAAATCTATAATGTGGAAATCACTGCCTGACAGTGCTAGATTTGGAAAAGAAAACTCCATATTTTAATTTAATGACACGAGACTTAGTGATGCATGTAGGCCTGCAGACTCTGATGGAGTTAGTGTTCTGTTAAGAGATTAATTACTTTGCCCTTCTGAATATATACCAGGCAAGATATGGGACAGAGGGGTACCCCCTTTACCTGTCCAATCCATATACACACTCTAGACTATTGTTACCTAACACATCCCCCCCAGAAGTCTGTGAAGAATTCCTGAGATTCCGATCAAACAATGACCAACACAAAGGTGGGGGGGGGTTCTCTCCGTCTCATATCTTGCTTCAAATGTCTGAATAAGCTGTGCTAAGCCTGTGGAGGAACTGGCCCAATTTACACATCAAAGCCGATGCACAATAACCATTCATGGAAAGCTGGGAGTCGAGGCTTTTGCACTAAGGTGGGGGAAATAGTGGTATGCATTAAGAGATTGCCCCATAGCCAACTCCCTTTTGGGAAACACTCTCTTGCAATCATTACCCACTTGCAGTTGAATCAGGCAATGGTTTGAAAGGGGATTAAGGGCAATCATTTCCTGCTTGGTGAACTGTTGCTATTTTGACCTGGGGCCTGAGCAATATTCAAATGTCATCAGAGTTACACCAGGGAAAGACAACGAAACAAAGACAATACTGAAATAAATATGTCAAGATGACATCATCAAGTGATTTATTATTAAATTTTGAATATTTAAATATTACACTAATATTGTTAAAACCATATAAAACCAACCCTGCCCTCCCGCAACATTCTGTTTTAGGCAACTGCAAGAGAAAAATATGGTCTTCAATATAAGTCTTTTGCGAGTGACCCTTGAATAAAATCTGGTACTCTTGAGTTCTTTAAATTCACAGGAACATAAAAATTTGAATTCTTCATACTAAAAACACTGTTGCTATACCTTTAGATTCAGCGCAAGCTTTTGCTTAGTTATGCAAGAGATGCCTTGTACCAATACACTGTTCACAAAGGAACCAGTCCATTCAAGAGATGGTGGTCGCTATTCAAAAGCTTTCCCCGAATCATGAGGTACAGCAGCAGCGTCTTTAGTCTGGGGAATTAAAATTGTTACATTTGTGTGCAATCAAATAACTCGGTGTAATAGATTTTATTCAAATTTAACTCGCAAGTGGCTTATTCATCTTGTGCGGGTCAAATCATATGACCCCTCCTTCCTGTCGAAACCGGAAGTGGGCTTATTGTTTGAAAGTGGTAATAGATGTCAACTTCCTTTAAATGGTGTTAGTAGGTGAGGAAACAGTATTCTTCAAATCATCAACTGATGACATCACGTAATTGGCGGGCGCCAGCTAACACGTGTGAAATTTTGGGCTGATGACGTCATCAAACCGGAGGTTCTGATAACAAGTCCTTTTATTAATTTATAACGGGTTTTGCCCTTACCCAATGTATATATTGATAAACACTGTATACTAAGTGCTTGTCTGAGAGCCTGCGAAAAAATTCACAAGCTTACTTGGTGCATAAGTGGTGTACTTCTTCACACAGATGAAGCCCCGATGACGAAAACCCCCTTACAATATTGTGAACTTGAAAATCCAATTCGCATAGAGTGCATTGGCTATTGTGCGTGCGGACTGCCTGTAATCATGTCATGTGACATTAAAGGGGCACTCTCCCAAGTGTTATGAAGTGCATATCCAATTGGGTTCCAAACTTGAACCTCTATGGACATGATCAAATAATCCCACCATAAGGTTTATGCTGGAGATTAATTGGTCAAATTTCAAAAGGCAAAAAAGCCATCTGTTCTGTTGGCAACAGATAGGCTATAGCTTTTCTTCTTCTCCTCAAAACCCATTTTGTACACATTTTTTCTACGCGGCACTTTTGTCCCTCAGCAAGCTTCGATCTTTTTCAAACTTAAACAAAGCAAAAACTCTATAGCACAGATGTGCCTAGAAACATGACGTCATGGTGACTTCATTTGTTATTGATTTTTAATCTTTATTTTTTGCCCATTGACTTTGTACGCAGATTCGAGTGGCTTCTTGGAACATTTAAATGTATTGCATTGTAATAAAACTTGCCTCAAACAAAGACAGTGTCGTCAAATAGTTTTCATTTGATAACATAGTGATGACATCATCACTTGATTGCTTATTGAGTTTTTAATATTTGATTTCTCTCATAGACTTTGTACATTTCAAGGGGCTTTTTGGGACACTTACCAATAAAGAATACTCCACAAACGTATATTTCAAATATATTTCAAAGCTTAGAAATGCGGAAAAGCCCTACGTTCTTTTGCTTAACAGACAAAACAAGTCAACTTTTTTTTTCTCTTTCAAATTTTGGTCTTTTGACATAACATGGGGTCGTTCTACACATCACTGTTGGTCCTTACTTTGGGTTGATTTCTTTCAAACCCAGGACATTGT